TCCTCAAAGCGCAGGGCTGCGGTGGCCACCCAGAACTGGCCTATGGACAGGATGGCTCGAATCTCGGCCTCCCTCCTCTTGTATTTGTAGCATAAGAACGGCCAGATGGGGTCCGTCCAGCCCCGTGTCCTGCCTGCCCACAGAGGCCAGTGCCAGGTGCCCCAGAGGGAGTGAACAGAATGGAATCATCAAGGGATCCCTCTCCTGTCACTCATTCCCAGCCTCCGACAGACGCTAGGGACACCATTCCTACCCGTCCTGGCTAATAACCATTGCTGGACCTAACCCCCAGGAATTTATCTAGCTCTTTCTTGAACCCTGTTAAAGTCCTGGTCTTCACAGCATCCTCTGGCGAGGAGTTCCACAGGTTGACTGTGCGCTGAGTGAAGAAAAACTTCCTTTTGTTTGTTTAAAACCTGCTACCTATTCATTTCATTTGGTGACCCCTAGTTCTTGTGTTCTTGGAATGAGTAAATGACTTTTCCTTATTCACTTTCTCCACGCCAGTCATGATTTGATGGACCTCTGTCATTCTCCCTCCTTCGTCTCCTCTTTGCTAAAATGAAAAGTTCCAGTCTTTTTAATCTCTGTTCATCTGGGACCCGTTCCAAACCCCTCCTCATTTTTGTTGCCCTTTTTGGAACCTTTCCCAGTGCCAATAGCACTGAGCCGAGGGGATGGGAAGCAGCAGTCACTGGAATTACAGACCCAGGAGAGTTGTCAATCAAACCGTCTCGTCTAGTTGCTCCAAAGTTTCCAGACGGAGGTTTTCAGGATCGAGCCCTGGCTAAGGTGGGCGTTTCTGCAAAGTCTGAGCAAAGCCTGAGGCTGGTTTGCGTGAGGCAAAGGCAGGCGTCACACTTCTTCCATTTATCAACCGGGTTTTAAACCCCGCCGGAGCGGGAGGGAGAGTGGCCAATCTTCTAATGGCACCAGACTGAACACCCTGCCCTACCCCACCCTGCCTGGCTTCCTACTGTTTCAAAGCAACAGTACATGGATTCTTATATCAGCCTCACCTGTAGCCTGGAAATGGGGTATTCTATCACCTGAGATTGGCTTTAGGAACAACAGATCCTTTTTTTGTTTCTTCTTCCACTGTGCTCAGAAGTCAGTAACTAGGGCTATGTCTAGACTGCACGTCACTCTCTCCCCCCCACCCTCACTCACTTCACTGGGCTGGGACAGGGGTTTGAAGTGAGGATGTGGGCTCTGGGTGGAGCCAGGGTGCAGGAGAGTGCTCCAGGTTGGGGCAGGGTGCTGCGGTGTTGGGGGTGAGGGCTCTAGCTGCAGGTAGAGCCCTCTGGGGTGGAGCCTGGGATGAGGGGCTTGGGGTACAGGAAGGGGCTCCAGGCTGGGGCAGGGGACTGGGCTTCACAGGGGCTAAGGGCTTTGGCTGGGGGTGCAGATTCTGGGGTGGGGCTGAGGATGAGGGTCTGAGGTGCAGGAAGGGGATCCAGGCTGTGGCAGAGGGTTGGGGTGGGGTGCAGGGTCTGGGTGTGGGAGAGGACACCAGGCTGGGACAGAGGGTCCGTGGGGGTCCTGGCAGCACTTTCTGCGGCTCTCAGGAAGTGGTTGCCAGGTCTGGATGGCAGACAGGCTCTCCACGCTGTCCTCACACACTCAGGCACCGCCCCTGCAGCTCCCATTGGTCACAGCTCCCAGCCAATGGGCACTGCGAAGCCGGCACTCGGGGTGGGAGCAGCACATGGTGCAACCCTGAATTTAAGTGTCACGGGGACCTGGCATCTGTTCCTGGAAGCTGTGTGGAGCCAGGACAGGTATGGAGCCGGTCTTAGTCCTGGGCCCCGGGCCCCTTGGCGAAAGCCAGATGCTGGGCACCCCTAGCGGAGAGGAGGAGAGAGGTACCCCAGCAGGAGAGGAACCGTGGAGGGGGTTGCAGTCTGGAGCAAGGGGGTGGCACTGTGTCTATAGTAGGGTGAGGGGTGCTGAGAGCCATTGGACCAAACTGTAAGACAAGCCCGTCAGGCCAGGGGCGCACCCCGGCACCCTTCATTCCAGCCCCTAGGTCTGGAGTAGTGAGCTGAACTTCCAAAGGAAAGAAGGCTGCTGGGATGGAGCACTGCATGCTGGGAGGCCCCCCCCCGACACTAAAGGTGAGGGTGGTCACGTGGCCGCTGGAGAAGCGGGCAACCTGGTCAGGCTTGGAGCCTGTTGGTTTGACTTGCTCTCCCGGCTCCGGTTAACCCCCGGGGTGTTCAGCCCAGCTGACAGGTCTCTCCAGACTGTGGCGGAAGGTGGGGAAGGGAGCCGAGGGGATGGGTTTGAAACTCACAGCCTCGTCCTGCTCCTGCACCAGCGTGTTCATGATCTCCTCCACGTAGTTGGCTGGGAACCACAGCTGCTTCTTGCCCCCGTAGTCTCCCCGCCACCTAGAAGAGGTGACAGGAACAAGGCAGCCGACTGACTCGGGAGTTCTAGGGAGGGAAGCACTGCAGGCAACAGCAGGGCAACAGCTGGCCCATGGAGACAGAAAAGGAGCCATTAGAACAGGCCTCAGCACCGCGCCCGGGGCAATGCATGACCTGTGATGCCAATGCCGAGGTGATGCTCTGCAGGACGCCAGGGGCTTGGCTCAGGGCACGGAGAACCACTGGTGGGTTTGGTTCCCTGGGAACTGGCAGGCACCTACAGTCCTCCCAAGAGAACAGGGAAGTGAGGCAGGATTCCTGGGATCCGTTGCGGGTCCCACAGGCGTGTCCTGGGCATATCACTTCCCTCAGTTCAGCCATGTGCCTGACTACCCAAGGCCCTGAGCCGTAACAAGCCGTCAGGAGGGGCTGGAGAGAGGCTGGAGAAGGGCAGGGATTTAATGGGAGCACAGGATCTCAGGGCTACCCTGTAGCAATATGGTTTTTCCGTAACCATGAGGAAAGGCCTGAAGCCATATTGGCAGCCAAAGCCTTCTTCTGCAGCCAGACTGAAGAGCAGAAGACGGCCTAGACCCTAGGCTGCATCTAGACTGGCAGGATTTTGCGCAAAATCTTTTAACTGAAAAGTTTTTCCATTGAAAGTATTTGCACAAGAGAGCGTCTACACTGGCATGTGCTTTTGCGCCAAAGCATCCGTGCCAGTGTGGACGCTCTCTTGCACAAGAAAGCTCCAATGGGCATTTTAGCCATCGGGGCAGTAAGGGAAGGGGGAGGCACCTGGAGGGTGCAGGGGTAAGGGAAGGTGCAGGTGCCAGGGGATTCTGGGGTGAAGCAGAAGGGCAGACACCTGCAGGGGAGGGACCAGCAGCAGAGGAGAGAGGCAGGGCAGGTGTACAGAGGGAGGTGTTAGAAGAGGGGTAGCTCACATGATCAGAGTGGGGCTATTGGAGGAGTGGGCACAGGGGGGAGAGAAGGGCTGGTGGAGGGGGGCAGGTCGCAGGAGGGCTGAGGGCAGTGAGTAGGGCAGGAGTCAGGACAACAGAGGAGGATGTGGAGTTGGGGGGCAGCAGGCACCAGGGGAGATGATGGAATAAGGAGAGGAGACATGGCAGCAGAGAGAAAAGGTAACGGTTTAAAAATAATTATTAATAACTTGGCATGCTGCCCACGGCCAGTTTGTTTGCGCCCCGCGGTGCAGTTTGGGTTTATGTGGGGATCAACACGTGGCC